TTTGACACCCCTGAGATAGATGATTCTAGTGGCAGAACAGTCTAAAAAGCTGGGTGCTCTTTTTTCCTTTCTGCTTTCCTGTATGAAATGGCTTCTCTGCTGTATTCTTGCACAAAGGAAGGCTGAGTAAGACTGTAGATTTCTAAAAGTAAATCTCTCTGCCTCCTCACCTCTAATTGCTTCCCATAATTAACTATTTTCAAAAATGCATTGTCAGTCTCCTAACTCCAAGGCCAAACATCAGTGCAAAGAATGTTTGATGGATGAGCTGGCTCTGTCTTACATAAACTTTTGATAACTTACTAGGCAAGAGATATAAAGAGTTAGTGTGCATGCTTAATTAGAAATATGAATAACTGTAGTCAAACACTGTGTAAATCTTGAAACCCTTCCTTGGAAAGTGTTTCAACATAAATGCAGGAGTGGTATTGAGACATTAGTTGAATGAGCTTCCTAACAGTAGAGGAATATAAAAAATTCTGCTTGGTGAATGTAAAATTCTGCTTGGTGTATACATTCCTCTATTTAGCTGTCTTGCCTGTGGACATCCCCTGTTCCATATTACAGTTTGCAGTTAAAGCAAACCTTCAGCTTTGCTATGCTCAACCCAGGTAGTCCTTGACTTATGACAACAGTTGAGCTGGAATTTCCATTGCTAAGCAAGGCAGTTGTTAAGTGAGCTTTGCCGATGTTATGACCATTTTTGCCACAGTTGGTAAGTGAATCACTGCGGTTGTTAAGTGATCCACAGGGTGTCAACGCTGCTAACACCGGATGTTCTTGCTTTGACAACAGATGAAAATACAGCCATTTTCTCTATGCTTTTAGAATTAGTTGGTGCTGGGAGGAGGGATAGGGATGAGAGTTCAGTTAGTCATAATAATAATAACTTTGCCATGGGAATCCAAGGACAAACTGGGTCCAGAGCTGATCATGTTTTGGCGAGCTGGAGAGCTGGGGAGAAAGCCCCTGCTTCAAGCTAATTGGGGAATGTGCTTTATGACTGTTTATTCGGAGTGGGAATTGTACTTTGTTACTTTGTATCCAGGGGAGAGGAATTTAGTTTTGGGGTTCAACTATGTAGTGCCGATACTTTGTTTCCTGAATAAAAGATTCTTTAAGGAATCTGTCGGAACCATGACACAGGGTTGTTAAGAGAATCTGGCTTCCTGGGAGGCTGCAATCATCACAAGTACACACCCATTGTCAAGTGCCCAAATTTTATCCATGTGACTCTAGGGATGCCGTAATGGTCATAAGTGTGGAAAAGGGTCATAAATCACTTTTTTCAGCACTGCTATAACTTTGAATGGTCAGGCTGTAGTGAAGTTCAACAATTAGGAAGGTATGCTTAATGCCTGCAGCGAAGGCCCCATTCACTCTCTTTCTATAATAAGAAAAATACATATTATAGATTCTTTACTATAGACAAATTGAAGTAACTTCAGACTTTCTAATCTCCATATTATTTCCTAAATAAAGCTTATATGCATTTTTCCCACTAGCATCAGCTACAAGAATATTTTATAAATACTTACAAAGGTTATAATCCTATCTTTAGTGATTCTTCTCCAGGCAATCTTTCTGCAATATTAAATATATCTTCTGTTCAGCACTAATGAGCCTTGATAGAGTTATAAAAGTCTACACTGTTTTTAACAGTTTTGCCTTTATCTAATGTGATTACATGGGAGAAGCTCTTTAGAGAAACAAAAAAGAAATTCCATCTATTCCAATCTCTTACTTTTGGCTGCACTGTTAGTCACAGTCTCCTTCCTATGCTTCAGTGTCTACCTCTATCTGTGCATTCACTTCTTCCTGAAAATGGAATAGACTGCTTGGGAAAAGGATCTCTGGATCCAACTTTCTGTGCACATTACAGAAAATCTTATTATATTGAATTGCTAGAAGGGCTTTTATTTTGAGGATGAATTGACATAAACTGACTGGAAAAAGCTAATTAAAGTTGCAACCATGTTGCTGCACTTTGTATTCCTAGCTATTGCATGCACAGATTTTTCCAGTCAGATCTCTTTAGCTAATACAAGGGATTTATTAACCTTAGTGTAATTTGAAGACTGAACATCGTTCATGAGTGCACCTTTCGAGCTGATTCTCGTCAGAAGAAAATGAGGAGATTTGACTCAAGCCTTAATGGATATTATTGGCCCAATCACGGAAAATCACATTTTCTGACAAGGGGGAAGGGATGGCACAAGTTATTTCTTGGCATATAAAACAGATCTGCAATCTGTAGAAAATCTGAAACTATGTTTTGCAAACTCAAAAGAATGAGATTTCATTTCTGCACTGATACCTTTCGATATCCGGTCAGAGATATTCTACTTCCCCATCTTTCTCTTTCCTTCCACCTTGCTCAGGGAACTACATAATGTGTTTGAAGTAGGATAATTTGAGCCCGATCATTTATGTTTTAAGTGGTTGATTTACTTGATTTTATTTATTTATTTATTTACGAGACTTATATACCGCTTTAAGTGCAAGCACTCTCTAATCGGTGTACACCAGTAAGCAATGTATATATATATATATATATATATATATATATATATATATATATATATATATGTAGGTCTTTGGTTGCTCGGGTTTTCTCCCGCGTAAAATTGGAAGTGTCTTGGCGACGTTTCGACGAAGTCCCATTCGTCATCTTCAGGCTGGTGTTTTCAGCTTCGTGCCTCCTCCCAACTGTAAAGCTAGCAACTAAGCAGATCAAACTGTATTTGGAGGAGAACGAATAATAATACAGACTCCAATCAAAACCTTTTTTGTACCTTTTAACTCAATTACTTTTCCAGTCTTAAAATTGGAATCCAATCGTTTCTTCAATTTCTCATGTTCAAGAGATATACGGCATTGATTAGGCAGCCAAAATGGCCCTATCTCAACACAAGCAGGAAGCATTAATGGGTTAAGTGGAAGACAAAACATGCAGAATCTTTAAAGAGAAAAATGTATTAGGGGTTGACATTTTCCCCTCCACCCCAAAAACCCACTGAGGAATGCCCTGCCTTGGTGCCCACAGAATGCTTACCCAATGGATGGAAAATTAATAATGCCTGCTGGATTCCAGGTTTCCTTAGTAGAATGGAATGGAATGGATTCTGAGTAAATACAGGAATAGGATGGATATAAAATAAATGAGCTCTGAACTTTAAGCTGCTGCTAAAGGATGCCAGAGGAATACTGGCTTTTTGTGAAAAATAAACTGTTCTAAGAATATCTGGCAGGGATGCTAGAAGGGGGAGAAGGGGGAGGGAGGGAGGCAAGAGATGAAAAGTTATCAGTTCACTGAAGTGAGAGTCTATAGATTTCAAATATGCAGCTAGAACTCAGTCATTCATAAGAAACTCTAATGCTCCAAATCTGATATCTTTTATTTTAATTTTGGTTTATTATCTTATGCTTTAATACATGCTGGAGAGAGAGAAGACCAAACCTTGCAGGCCACCACACCACAAATTAGAATGCACTTGGGCTATATGCCCAAATCTATTTGCATTTAAGTGGGGAAATTACTCCTCTGTATTTGTAGCTTTATACATCTTGGGGGTTTTCTGTACATCGTTCAGGTGAACTTAGATAAATGGGGGGGGGGGTGAGTGGTGTATTTTCAGTCTATGCAAATCCACTTCTTGTTTTATTTATTCAATTTATTTGGTGCCCATCTCATAATGAAATGACTCTGGGCAGGTCATTCTTTTTTTTCTGTTTCAAGTTTTTTATTAATTTTACAATATTACATTTACATATTTGAAAAGTAGCACGGCGGCTGAGCACAGTAATTCCATTACATTTGAATATCATCAGTACAAATCTCAAATTATTACAACAAACTAATTCCCTCTCTTTCCCCCATGATATCTACTGTCATGTTCAAACCAATACAGTTCTTATTCTATTAATCAAACAAAAAATACCTTTCTAATATTCATCAATAATCTTCAGTCTATACTTAATTAATTAATTAATTAATTTGACATTCTACATTTTAGACAATAACCTAGTAAGTTTCTCTTAACTTTAATTTGCCATTGATATTCAAGTTTGACGTTTAATCTTTATCATTTCCAGGTTTTAAATGATCCCAATTTCTAAGTCTCTTATCTCACATTTGGAGCTAATAATTTTTTTTTTCTTTTCTTCCTTTCACTTCCTTCCTTTCCAGAAAGAGAAAAAAAAATTAAAAATAAACTACCAACATTTATACCACAAACCCATATACAAATTTAATTAGTACTTATACTTTTAAGTTTTACTTAACCTTTGTCTCAACTCATAACAGTATCTTAAATTCAAATCTTAATTATTTGTAGACATTCAGATTACATTTAATATTTAATTTTTCCAAATTTTTAATTAAACACAATTCCTTTATCCCAACTGCTCATACATTCTAATATTTAAAATACACACCTTATATATAACTTCTACCATCTATCTTACCCATCTAATGACAATATAATATTCTTATTTCAACATATTTCTAGATTTTACATGACCAAAATTTTCTTTATCTCAAATCTTTACAATGTCTTGTGTTCAGAATACATATTCTATCTATTTAGATATATTCTATTTTAGATCTCATATATAGATCAGAACCCCAAACTTTTTCAATCTTATTCTAGCTTTTTTCCTCTTGGGCAGGTCATTCTTTCCCCCATGCATTGAACAAGATCACTGATTGTTGACATTTGTTTCCCCCTTTGCGTCTCCCCCATTAATTTTTTTTTACTATAGTCCTTGACTTATGACTTACAATTGAACCCAAAATTTCTGTTGTTATGTGAGATGGTTGCTAAGTGAATTTTGCCCCACTTTACGAACTTTCTTGGCACAGGTGTTAAGTGAATTGCTGCAATTGTTCAACTCGGTTGTTAATTGAATCTGGCTTCCCCATTGAGTTTGCTTGTCAGAAGGTCGCAAAAGGGGATCACACATGATCCTGGGACACGGCAACCATCATAAATATGAACCACTTTCCAAGCGTCTGAGTTTTGATCACATGACCACGGGGATGCTGCAACGGTCATAAGTCACTTTTTTCAATACCACTGTAACTAAATGAACTGTTGTAAATTGAGGACCAGCTCTATTGAAACGGAGACTGGTAAGAGTCCTTCTGATGGCAGCAGTGGTTGTCTGCCATTTTGTGTGTTTGTGTGCATACATGTGTGTGTGTTCATGTGTTTGTGTGTATAGACATACATGGACAATGCTATGCATAGAACAAAGAAAAATTACTTAGTGAACACTGAAATGTCAGTAATCTGGTGTGATTTTTTTTCCCCTTCCAATTTGTCTTGGGATTGTCATATTGGAGCTGAAATGAAAGCCTTTATCTTTTATATACAATTGAAAAAATTAGGAATGTAACCAAAGCCCAGTTCTCCTAACTCCTAACTGATTACCATTCCTCCTCTCCAATATTTTAGCTTTAGCTTGCCTTTGGAAAACTCAAATTTCCATTCCCTGATTCATTTTTTTATTCTCCAAATTTCCAAATCTAGACCTACCAGATCTGGGTTGCGAAGCTCCAATTGACCAATTGATGACAGCAAAGAATTTTCTGATTCTCTTTGCTACCATCTCTTGTTCACCCAGATTTTTACAGAGCAAATCCAATCAGCCTGCACTAATCCCCCAAGCTCTTTTTCAGAAACAATTCAAAGGATTCTTGCCCCTCCTGTATGCATACTCCCATGCACAATTTTTGAACATGCAAATTTCACTCTCAATGAACCATCTTAAGGATGTGGACATACAGATCTAAAAATCTTCTAATTATTTCTGACCACCCTCTATAAATATATTTATTATGGCTGGAGACTAGAAAATTACTCACAACGACATTAATGCTCCAAACCAATTCTCTCCCCGAGAATTAAAGTTGGGATCACTGATACAATTTTTTATCTGCCTTTGATACTGCCTTATATTGATGCGAGCAAGAGCTGAAGCAAAGCAACCAAACGAAGTCCTGGGAATTATTAAGCTTAAGGTTCTGGAAAAGACAGCAGCAGCAGTGCGGTAGCAGTGATGGAGAGTTGATGAGTGCAACAAGGCAGAGACAATATTCTTCACTTTGCACCATTGGTAGAGAGGAGGAGATCTCAGGCTGACACTTCCTCTCCTCCCCCTCCCCCCCGCGTTACAAAACAGCGTCACTTTGATAATTTGGGCAGCTGAGACAAACAAACGAACCGTCTGAGGAACGGAAAGGTAGGGCTGTTGCTGACTGCCCCAGTTTCCAACCCAGGATCTGATCCGTATAGATGCCATTGTTTGGCTAGGGTGCATTTCACACGTGCAAGGGTAGGCGTTGCATGGCCCCGGTGTTTGCAGAGAAGGGGCGTTGATCTCACCTGGAGAAGCCTTCTTCCCTTGGGGGTCCCCCTTCATCCCTCCTCTCCCCTTGCCTCTTCCTCTCCAGAGGACCCCGAGGAAGACCGTGAACAACCGCGCCACGCACCCTTCCTCCGTTGATGCATCTGTCTCCAAAAGCTCACGCCGCCGCCGCGGCGCTCTTCTTCCATCCGCGCCACCCGCTCATCCCCAACCCTGCCTCAATCGCTCTGTTCTGCCTCGTTTCGGTTTTCCAGACGAGTTTTCCCTATAGCTTGCCGTCCGGGAAGATCTCAGAGCGTCCCCTTTCTTTCTTTCTTTGGTTTTCCAAGGCGGGGACGGTGGCATTTCTTTTCCCCACTTTGAGGTCCAGAGTCTCTCTCTCTCTCTCTCTCTCTCTCTCTCTCTCTCTCTCTCTCTCTTTTCCCCCTATGCGGGCTCATCGGAAAGAGCCAGAGCGCAGGAAGAGATGCTCCGAGCGGCCAACTTCCCCGGTAACTCCGGAGCCGATCGGCTGGGTTGCAAGCGCTGCTGAGAAAGGATCCTCCCCTCTCGCCGGCGCGGGAGGGGGAGGCGGGGAGGAGGCTGAGCAGGAGGCGGAGGAAGCGGGAAGGGCTCCTTGCGCCTATAAGGAGTTCTCCGGCTCCGCTCTTTCTGAATTCCAAAAGCAGCTGCTGGGAGGTGGATTTCCGAGCCGGCCGGCTGGCCCTTTGACGCTTAGGAGCTCTCGGCGGAGGCTTCGGCGAGCGAGGCGCCTTTCTCTCGCCGCCTAGCCTCTGCCTTTCCAAGAGGCTCTGGATGTCGGGTGGAATAAATGAGCCAAGGCAGGGAAAGGAAACGGGAGGTGCCGCGGTCTAAAATTGGAGATTAAGGAGGCAAGGACAGCCCGGGGCAATGGAGCCCGGGGCCCAACTCTTCGGCGCGGTGACTTGGCTGCTGCTGCTGCTGCTCAGCGGCTGGCGTCTCGCCTTCGCAGCTTCCGTCTGTAAGTATCCCAGACTTTCTCCCCTGCGCTTGCCGGCGAGATCTGTTATGGGTTGGGTGGCCAGGCTTTTGGCTGGAACCGAGGAAGGGGCGAGAGATCCGGCGGTTGGGGTCCCGGGTGAAGTTAGCTGAAGCCTTCGCTGCCAATCGGCTCTCGCTCTTTTTCACACTTTTCGTGCCGGAGAATGAAGGAAGGTGCCGACCGGGTTTCCACCCTTCAAAAACACGCACACGCACACACAAACCACGAAGTTGCGGAAATCTCAGCATCCTTTTGCGCTCCCACCCCCCCACCCCCCGGTGCCACAATCTCCGCCGCGTAGTCGGATCGGAAGGGAAGCGGTTTCTCCTGGGTCCTCGGATGAATTGCTGGCGATTTGTATTCCTGCCTTAAGACTTCGTTTTCCGTGTTGCTGATGGTAACGTGGAAATGCCTTCAGTCACCTCTTCCCTTGCAGAGGGAGGATGGCTCCTTTTGCTATCTTTAGGGTTTCTAATTCAACATCCTCCCCTTCCTTTTCCAAATGGATTAAAGCCTTTGTTATTTTGGTAATCGCGGAGTCACGGTGTCTCTTCTGCTCTCCTCCAGTTGCCCTGTGTAATTCTGGTTGTTCTCTTTTAGACAGGATCAGTATCTGCACTGCTGCTTCAGGTCTAACCTCATGGGTTTCCTCAAGCCAAGGTTAATCACAACACCCTTCCCTAACATGGTGGCTTCCATACATATTAGGTTATAACTCTTATCTTCCTTGGGCAGCATGGTCAGTGTTTTACTGGCTTGGAGCTAGTTGGAGGCTGCCAGTTTGAGGAGGACTAAACTACGGCTAAGTGTTGAAGGAGCACCACACTGAGACTTGAAGCACACATGATTATTAAAGAATGTAGGAATTGTTTGATGTAGTTTTTTTTTAAAGCAATGGTATAAATTTAAAACTACTAGTCATTCATGGGTTCCTTGCTGCTTCCATGTGTCATGCGTGGCTTGGATTATTCTGATTTTCACTTGAAAAAAAAAAAATCCCCCATCCTCACCTGAACTGTTCCTTGCATTATTGCTATTTGATGGGTTTCATTAGATATTACTAGTCAATTGTTGTGATAAAGCATCTGTGGGTATAGATTGCCAATATAAACGAGAGGAATATGGCTATACCTTTTCAGATATTTATTTCCATCCAGGAATGGAGTCACACTCATCTTGATCCTTGAACATAGCTAAGGGCAGTGAGTGCTTCTAAACTATGGTCTCCGGTATGCTGAGTCAGAAAGTTAAGTCCCATTGAGCTTATGGGTTCTCATTCCTCAGAATGGCTGGATTGGAGAATAACGTACTGTTGATATGTTTCTTTGGAAGATGACATGGACAAAATAACACCACAGGAGAAGCATTGCCATGTATCAATAAAAGTGCTTAGCAGAAGTGACTGAGAACATAATTGTTCACTGAAGTCATGCAAGATTTTAATCCAGTTCACAAATTTATGCAGATTAGAACATAAAGGCAAATGTTCAAGAATTGGACCAGTTCAAGAACAGGACACATTTTAAACAGTGTCTTGCTTGTATTTTAGTCACCGAATGCCATTAAGCACAGGGAAATATATATTTGGAACAAATAAAATAATTTCTTTATGTCTTGATGGAAAGGAGTGAGTTGTTTCTTGAGTCCTAATAGCTTTTCGAACACTAGAGGTCACTCTTACCTTTTTGATTCCCTTCCTTAAAATTGGGGGGAGGGGGTGTAAGAGAATATACAGTATTTCGGATATCTACCCCGTTGAAACAATGGACTACTCTGAATAAATAGGGAAAAAAGGAATGTAATAAGCTTCATGAATGACTCTCTTGTGGGTGTGCCTTCAGGTTGGATTTAATGAATAAAAATAGTAAGCAGGCAGTAAAACTTCTTTGTACTTGCAGTAATGGATAATATGGTTTAATAACATTTTAGAATGTTAAATGAGAAGTGATTTAACCAACAAGTCTTACTATTATGCAGTTTGTAATAAAGTTAATTTGAATATTGGTTTAAAAAAACCTCTGAGTTAATGAGCTTTACTATTTCTTGGGTGACACCTTAATTTCCCTGTACCAGTAAATATTTCCACTGAACACCGAAACTGCTCCCTAAATATTTGGGATTTTATCTTTGTAAAGCATAACGATCAATTCTTTTATTGTACTATACAATTCTTATGTGTTCATTAAGCAATGAATTTAGCAGGATGTTTTTCCCCAGAAGCATTTGGGAAAGTTATTCCATAAAACAGCCACCATTGCTATTTTCCATACATTTTTTCGCTCTTTTGAATGGTTTGGGGGATAGGCAAAATCAGTATTTCAGCTATTTATGAAACTTTTCTTCTTTCGCTTCAACCGGGTCTTGGTCAATATTTAAAACTGAAATCATAATCTCTCTGTGTGGATAAGGATACTTTTCGCTCTTTGAAATGCCAGATCACATTTTAATTCATTCTATTCATTAGTAATTGTTTCATTAGGAAGTAGACAGTTATACAAGGACTACAATGCTTCCATTTTATAAGTGATTTTCAGGAAGCATGCAAAATACTATTTTGGAATGACTTTCTGCATGAATTTAGGGCTGATTCCATGCATGCTTATTTGGTAGCAAGCCTGAATGGCATTTTCTTCCAACTTGCACAGAAGTGCTATAATAAATAACACTGTTGAAATGATATCACAAAGGCAGATACCAAGCTTGATGACCCATGAGTTAACTTTGCATATACAAATCCTCAACGGCAGTTAGACTTCTGTGCTCTGCAGATTTGTGATGTCTTCAACTTCACTTTGAACAGAGTGTTCAATATCTCAATGGCTCCCATAAACTTCCAAGAGAAAAATCAGTTCTTTTCACACAACTCCACCAATTGTTAATATAATCCATTCCCAAAACCTAGCTAGGTAGTCAGTTTATCTTTTCACCTGTCGTACATATATGCATATGTTGCCAGTTGAAATACAAGGGAAAAATCTTGGTTTAGCTTAGCAGAAAATAAATTGAAATGATAAAAGTCAAACTCTGTTGTTCGGAAATTGAGCTCTTGGCAGTTTCGGAAAAGAAGAAGAATCAGAGTGCTGAAGGGGATCAGAGGAAGGTCACTTAGATCTAACCTCTGACCGAAGGTGTACTTTTCAAGACTTTAATAGATTAGCCCCATGTCAATCCAGATCATAGGATTCTATGGAAAATGTGCCATCTGAATAAGAAATAGTCTTTATAGAGTTCCCAGTATTTTCTAGGGCAGATTTTTCTTGATCTCATCTATTTTTATATAAACTAATCTTGACCACATTTAAAATAAGACTTATATTTAAAGTAAAGAACAACAAACTATCAATCTTTGAATTAGCAGTTTGCATTTTATAGAAGTAAGGATAGTTTGGGAGGAAGAATAATGAATGGTGTTGGTTTAAACAATGAGTGTTTGTGTTTTTTTACTTCCTCCTTCCAACACTTTTACTTCTTATCTTTAGCGCTTTGCTTAACTCTGTTTATACTGGAAATGAATAATCTGATTATGTCTGTGTGTGGGTGTCTCTGTGTGTGTGACAGAGAGAGCTATCTCTTGTGTTAGATTATATCCTATCTTTCATTTATTTGATTCTTGGTACACTGCATTAAAAAGAGATTCTGCTGCTTGTTTATCTGCTTGATCAGCATATACTGTAACTCGATTATAACATTTCCTGAGCTGTTTTCTTAGTAATTTCAACAATAGGCTACACGGGAGGTCAGTAGACAGTGTTACAAAAATTACTTTACCTAATGTATTTCCAGAAATATTTCAGTCTTGCTCCATCAAAGCCCTATATTAGATTACTACAATAGTAATGAGATTTCTCCCCAGGATTCTAATTGCTGGGAAATAGATATAGCATTCATTAGTGTGTGTTTCTATTTTATCATGTTTCTAATGGGTATGATTTTAATAGTGGTATACTTGTCTGCTTATAAGAAGAACTTTCTGCTTAACCTTGGGATTTCTAGAAGCTTTCTTACATTTCTTTTAGTAATTCTTTTACTATTTTTTAGTAATTTTGGAAGATGGAATTTGTAGCATATATGCATCCAAATAAAGCATTCATTATTAATTCCTGCAGTTATCTATTATATCTCTGGCTACTCTGGATAAATTGAAATAAATTGCAAAGGGAAGAAAAAATACCTACCTCTGAGCAATTGTAAAGCAACAGAAGTGATGTGTTGGCAGATGCACATGGACTGAATCACGCAACTAGAATTTTCATTTCTGATTTCAAATTTTCAGCATACTAGGATTGGAGGCAATGCTCCTGATATGTCCTTGGATGCTCACTCAGCCAACATCCTTTTTGTGTGATAGGAGGATACTAAATTCACTTTGTCCTACTCTATGTATGCAGTAGAAGCAACCTACACAGTGGCAGTCTTTTCAATATAACAGTTAATATGTTTTTAACAAGATTATATAGAAACACTGAGTTTGAAATTTAGGGGGGGGGAAACAACCAACCTATAATGATTACCATAACTTGTGAAGAATACTGCAATAATTTTGTGACCTGTTTTATTGAAGTATTGTTGTACTATAGTCAGTCTGAAGGTGGAGTAAACTTGGAGAAGGACATTGTTTGCAGTACCAATATCAGGAGAGACCAGTTGCTACAGACAAAACCTTCCCCCTGCCCCACTTTCTTACTGGATTTTGTTACTGTCTGAGCATAGAGAAAAGGGTTTGGTTTGCAAATGTTTACTTTCATTTGATGAAAGGATTCAAGTAGATGTATTAAACCAGGGGTCCCCAACCACGGCATGCCAACAACTGGTCCGCACAAACAAGCAAAGCCCCATCTGCGGGATGCAGACAGCACACAAAACCACGCTCCCTCTGGTCCGCAGAAAAACCTCTCTCCGCATAACTGGTCCCTTTTGGGCACCTCTGTATTAAAAGACCAGCTATGAAAAATGCAGCTGAAGGGATAATAAGCAGACCA